TGCAGAGGCTTTTTAGGTCGGGTACAATCACTTCTATCTGAACCACTTCTCTTGACCGCTTCCATCACTGCAACACCTGTTGACCTGATAACTGCTCTCATATCTGACAAACTGAGGGGCGTCCAAAACGGCCGTGTGGGGTCACCTTAAAAGCGCCTACCTTCTCTGGTCCAAACAAATCCAGAGCATTCAGGAGCAGAATCTAAAGTTAGAAGGAGGACATACTGGCTGCTGCATTGTTGTCAGAGAAGCCAGCACTTCAACATAGCATGTTTCCTTAATGATCAGATAGTAAGATACCTTTATCATCTCACTCTCTACACATCTCACTGACTGGACCTTTAAAGTATGATTGGTTGGAAACTGAGTTCTTCTTCTGTTTTTTCAGGGACGTTTGATGTGGTGATCCTCGTCGGTGCTCTGAGTCCAGGTTTTATACCGGTCAGTGTGGTCAGAGAGCTCTGCCATGCTGCCAAACCAGGTAACCATCTGACCCCTGAGTCCCAGCAGGTAACATTTAGCAGCCGTCATGTTGTGAAACAGGGAGGGTCAAAGCTGAAGCTGCGTCCAGAGCTCAGAATCAACCACAGGACGGAGAGGACACTGACGCTTTCTAAAACCAGCAGCGAGCTTAAAGGGATACTTCACCCGTGTAAACATGAATCTGTGTTGACATTGGGTCATATGTGTAGAAATGTGAAATACATTTTGAAGTTGGTGCCTTCTTGGCTGAGAAAAGGCAGAAAGTGTCTTTTTGGCTCATGTGGATGAAAGACACCAAATCCCAGAATGCACAGCACCACAGGCCACTCCCACTAAGGTTCTCTATATTTACTACAACACATAAGGTCGTTTCCTCAACTGATTCAGAGATTTGTTCCAGAACCAATTGGTATCTTGTAAATTCCTGACAGAGCTGATGTAAATAAGACAAATCCAAAGACTTCTGTTTACATGAAACCATCAGAAGATGAACCGGGTCCAGGAGGGTCTCTGGGTTTGCTGGGTTTATAACCTGAAGCTGTCAGTCACTCAGGTTGTGATTTGATGTTGTGTGTGCAGGAGGGCTGGTGTGCATGGTGAGAGGGGAACACAGGGGAGCAGAGCACGACATGTACCAGTGTGACCTGCAGAGGGAGCTGCAGCTGATGGAGGAGGAGGGGCTGTGGGGTCAGCTGGCAGTCCAACACACGGACAGGTACATGAACGACACATTCCCGGACCCAGACCAGCAGGGGGAGCTCTTCCTCAGCGGGACGGCGTACCTGTACAAGAAGAAGGAGTTACATAACAAAGAGTAAAGTCTTCTGCTGTTAGTCGAGTGTCTCCAGGTTGTTGAAAGATCAGAAAGAGTTATGCAATTGTTGAATTCTTTTTTTTAATTTTTTTTATTATCATTTAATTCTTTCATCATTTAATACATATGTCATAAAGTCTTAACCTTTTTCTGCTTTCAACATTTCCTGTTAAACTTACACACACTCGTAGTGCCTACGCTCCTGTGAGGTCAAGATGAGTGTGCCATACAGTGAAGCAAAACCACATCGGAGCTCGTAAGCGTATAGCATTTCTGTGTATCAGCTCGGTTCACGGTCTTCGAGCTGAAACCACATATGAACTTGGCATGACCTGCGAACGTGCATTGTTGAGGTGTTACAGGATCTTGAAAAAAGCTATAAAAACGCTGTAGAAAATCTGATCGAGGTTCCTTTTTGCTTTGCTAAACGAATCCACACCACTCTAACTTCTGAAATCCCATTTTGGGACTTAGTCTCTGAGCCAAGATCTTTTAAAACCTCAAGTGTCTACACTCACAGGTTTAGACTTTGGTCTTTGAGTTTTGTTTTTCTTTTCCATTTTTATATCTTTTACTTTTAAGGTTTTGTATTTGCATTTGGAATATCATTTGACATTTTTAAATACATTTTCGGAAACTTTTTGAAATCATTTTCTGACTGAAATCATTCACACCACAAAGACTGGAAGTTCCCCTTAAGGACCCCGTTTACCTCGGAAGGTAAATTTTGAGCAGTCACACCACGGCACACTTGTCTTACTGATTTATATCACACACTTCATACACACCTAACATTCTAGCGAGGGGAGTTCACAGTTATTCCCTCTCCGGGGGGTAATCTAGAGTCCTGTACCAGAGGTTATTCTTGAATCTAATTATTCTAGAAATGAATGTTAGGCAGATAATCCTGGGGCTGTGATTATAACTTGTTCATCTGTTCTCCAAAGGGTGTTAGAGGAGTAATTTTACATAGCTCCTTCCACTAGGAAAGAGTAGACGAGCAGGTTGGTAGGGAGTGAGCTCTCATTTAGTTCTAGGGAAGAGTAGTCTAGTTAACTAATGGGTGGTGAGCGTCTGTTAGCTATAGTAAAGTTATTCAGGAGTTTCAGGCTGGCTGCTGCTGCAGGAGGAACCTGCTGCTGCATTTTTCTACAGTTCTCCTGAAAACAGTTTGTGTGTTTATCTATCTGTGGAGAGTTTTCTGTTACAGGACCAAAAAGAATCATCTTATAATCATCAGACTGAAGCGATGTGCAGACGAGTGTGGAGGGAACTTTTAGGATAGGATAGGATAGGATAGTACTTTATTGATCCCCAGAGGGGAAATTCGGGCGTTGCAGCACTTTAGGGAAGTGATGGTAGAAGTGAAATAAAAATAGTTCTCGGTAGAAGAAAGAAGGAAGGAAGTGAAGACATTTCCCTTCTTCATTTCAGAGTGTGTCTGCAAGTCAGTCGTTTTCTCTTCAGAGCGAGTCCAAATCACAGAGAGAGAGCTCGAAACTAAGGATGGCAGGCTGGGACAAGAAGCTTCTGTGGTGCTTCATGCTCCTGCTGGCAGGTAAGACAGAGCTGATCATCTGATGTCTGTAGTCTTTATTATTTCTCTCCTGAGATCTCAGTCAAAGGAGAATGTTGTGAATGAAATCAGAAATCTGAATCCTCACCGTGAATCTGATGTTACTTAAGTCTTTGGTCTCTGACATGAGTCTGAGGTTTTAGGTTTTGAGTTCCCTCTTGTTGTTTAAACTTCCTCGTTTGTCTCCACAGCAGCTTTTTAACAAACCACACTCGATTTAAAGCCACCAAACCAAATCCACAAAGAGCTTCTGACTCTGATCTTCGTGATGTCATGTTCATTATCTCGCTCAGAAAAGACGTTAGATTCCAACCGTTTGTGAGATTTAGTCGTTTATGTTTTTGAACACTTTCTGATGTTGGTTGTGAAGTGGGAGGAGTCAGCTCTGAGATGTATTACACAATACATTTTAAACCAATAATAAAAACATACACGGATGTCTCGTCCAATCAGGGGCAACTAGACTACTCAGCTCCTACCTCCTGAGATGTTCCTGGCTGCTCAGCCACCGGTGAGGCTGGCGGCTGTTCATGCGGTGGATTTGGAGAAACTGTGTTTTGGTTCGCTGTGGCGGAGTTGGGGAAAAGCACTCCCACGAGCGCCCGTTACCCCACAAGACCGGTTAACCTGTTTGAGTCGGGAAAGCTCCGGGCTTTGCCAAACGGCGTCCTGTCTCCAACAGTTCGGTTAGAGTCGCCCTGCGCTTAGAGTCAGTTAGAGTCGCCCTGGATTCTCCACAAAGTTTATTTTCCAAACTGTGTTTTCTTTATGTCGGATGAGGATTTTGACATAACGAGGGAAGAAAAGATGTTTAAAAGTTACACTGCTAGCTCCATTAGCTTAGCTAGGTACCCCAGAATGCCTTGAGCAGCGAGTTGCAATCAAGGCGCAACCTCCGGTCTCGAAAAATGAAGCCTATGCGGAAGTACAAAAAACTGCAGTTCCTCGAGGTTCCACTTGAGGCTGGCTGCAGAAGCGCCGGAAGTGCCATAAGCCCACAGCCAAAAAAGCCCGTTTTTACCACAGGAATCAACATGTTTACAGCCTGGTTCAAAAAACGAGATATATCTGAGAAGTTGACAGCCCCTTCTCCTCACACTGTGGGGGGGGTGAATTTTTTTATAACTCATCGGATTTTATTCTATTAAGGAAAACGACTATGCCCATATAAGGGTTGTGGCAGATTTGATTGACAGCTCTGCGCGCTGCATCTGTCTGTCAGGTCAGGTGGTCAGGAGGTCAGCAGGTCAGGAGGTCAGCAGGTCAGCAGGTCAGGAGGTCAGCAGGTCAGGAGGTCAGGAGGTCAGGAGGTCAGCAGGTCAGGAGGTCAGCAGGTCAGCAGGTCAGGAGGTCAGGAGGTCAGCAGGTCAGGAGGTCAGGAGGTCAGCAGGTCAGGAGGTCAGGAGGTCAGGAGGTCAGCAGGTCAGCAGGTCAGGAGGTCAGCAGGTCAGGAGGTCAGCAGGTCAGGAGGTCAGGAGGTCAGGAGGTCAGCAGGCTAACAGCTTGATCCGTCTGATTTCTCCTCTTTCTTACTTCGTTTGGAGAGTTTGTTTAACACATATCTGACAACATACATGGCTTGCTGTGCGGTTAACAGACCATCCAACAAGTTGATGCTTCAGTTTTCTTCGGTAAGTGATATAGTAGTGTTATATTTACTGCTTACTCATGTGTTTATATTTACAGACCTAGCTTGTTTAGCGTTAGCTTGTAAACAAGTCGGCTAACTGTGTAGCTCATTATTTACATTATTTACATTATTTACATTATTTACAGTCAATGGTTTAGAAATGTTTGTTGTTAAGATGTTGTTGTTGAAATTAATGAGTTTGTGTGATGTTAGAGGCTAAAGGTTCAGCTCGGTGGTTATCTGACGTTATGATGAATGTTATACTCCACGTAAATGTGGACATTAAAAAACAAACTTTGTGTAGTAATTATCCGTCAGTAACATAAACTGAACTGAACCTAATGTGCTGTGTAGGTTATAGAGGATGACATTAACGTTACATGGTTGATGTAGTGTCTTAAGATTTGAGCAAACTGTTAACAAATTTAAAAAAAAACTTCACTTTGTAAGAGCATCTGTAACCATTAAGAACTATATTAATAACCAGATTAATTTTCACTGAACTCATACACAGAATATAGCAGTAGAAATATAAAACATAAATAACATATGGAATGAAAATAAGATTTAAAGCACATAGATATAAAGTATAAGAAATAGTTTGAAGAATACAGCCATGTACTGAGCTCATGTTAATAATAAATGAGTTACTGTATGTTCTGTACTAAAGCACAGAGAGTTGGGACCTGTTAATGATTTAAATAATTCAGGTTATATTTGTTTCATGATGAAGTACTATCCACAATAAACTGCTTAATTTTTCCTCACAAAATCTGAGACCATTTGATGTGGAATATCATTGTGTGAGTGAGAGAGCTGAAAACAGCATGATTACAATAATGTTTATCTTCTTAACTTTGAATAGATGTTGATTACCTGAATACTGGACCTTTGTTGTCTGGGTAGTACACTGTTGAATTTATAAATGTGCTCTTACACACAGATGAATACAGAAAAATAGATGAGAACAAACAAAATGATTTAATGAATAACTGATATTTTCTCTCTTTCTTTGCCATTCTGAAGACCTCTCACTAAAAGTCCATGTTCTCCTGGATCCATGTCACATGCTCAAGCTTCTTCTGAATGACTTTTCAACAGTCGAAGTTCTGCTGAGAGAAGATGGCCAGCAGATAAGACAGCAGTACATGAAGGAGCTCCACAGGCTTCAGGAGGAGGAGGAGGGTTTGCACCTTGGAAGACTGTATTCATGCTGTTCAAATAAAACTAGATCTCCTCCAAACAACTTGCAATCAAACCATTTTCTTCCCATTTTAAAACCCTTTGTCCAGTTTAGATGGGAGAAGTTGACATTATGTGATATAGATCAGGGAAGACTACATTTCTAAATCATTTTTAACTGTGTTTTTATTCACAAGTTATTGATCTTATTTACTCTCCATGTATCTTGATTTAAGAATGGGGCTGTGTTTAAAGGCATCATTTTGCAATGACTCTGTTCCATCCCATTTTCAGAAATGAACTACATTAGTATTTGGTAAAAAAAATGTTAAAAGAAGACAAAGTTGTGTAAAAGTAGACTTCCTTCCCTTAGCTATTGAGTTGAGCATTAATGCACATTTTAGTCTTGTCATTTCAAATCTGAAATGTATACTCATAAGTAGACATAAAGGAGTGCATTTATACAGAAATATTTATTTAATCTGAAAAACAACATTAAAAAAAGTCTGTTTTTACAGCAGAGATGAACATGTTTACAGCTTGGTACAAAACAAACAAATAGGTGTGATTAGCTCATGTCTCGATGGACACACACTGTACGGGGGGTGAATGTTTTGATGACTCATCAGTTTTGATTTGATGAAGGATAAGAGTTATTCACAATAAGGCGTGTAGCTGACCTGATTGACAGGTGGGCGCGGTGTAACAGTTTGTCAGGAGGTTTAAAACCCGCCTCAGCTCCAGCTCTCAGCCTGTGGGTGACATCACTCAGGCCATCCGGGGGAGACCTCCCTCACAGCGAGCTGTTGAAGAGAAGCAACCGAAGTCCACCCCAGAAGAACCAACAAATACAGATGTTGTTGAGGCTCAGGTTTCTTCCTCTGTCTCTGCAGCTCTCTGGGCACCTCGATGGACCAGTCACCAATAATCCACACTGTGTCTATAGGAGAAATACAAAGGTGTTCAATTAATACCTCAGACAAGACACAATGTACAGTTAACTACATGTGACAGCTCAGGCTGTTTTTTTGTTATTAGCCACATCTGCAGGAAAAATATTGAACAAGATAGCTGCAACTCATAATAATAGATGCCAGTCTTAAACACTATTTTTTCTAATACTTAAAGTTTTTGGTGTGAAGCTGACACTGTCCACAGACTCCATGACTTCACAGGGTTCAAACGAAAGAATTATTTTTCAATTGTCATGTTCTCCCACATCGCTGTTGACATCAGTAAATATAAGACACACACATTCCTCTTTTTGTCAGAACAGTAACATGAACTGTATGCTTTGTAATATTGATTTCTTCTGGATGTCTCATATTTATTTACAGTTTATGGATAAAACTTTGTTAATGTATTTCTCTGCTAACACTGACAAAGTCTAACTGCTCTGACAAATAACTAATAACCATAGTTGTATATTTAACAAAGTGTAGTTTTAAGACTTTAATTAAATATTTGGGTTGAATATAATTAGTTTTAACTGTGTTGTAGAAAAGTTAAATGTTAACTTCCTGTTTGTAGATATAACTCTGGATGAGCAGGAATAGGGGATGATAGCAGCCTAGCCGTTAGCTATGCTGTGAAGTGGACTGCTAACGTCGAGCTGAATGGGCGGAGTTAAGTCCCGCCGGTCCCATCTTACTGCTGTTGCTAGGTTGATCCGAAGTTAGGTTGAGACTGCAAATCCAATATGGATGTGGCCGTCGATTGGACTCATTTTCTGCCTATGTCACAGACGGGTCAGGGTTTGTCCAGTAATATTTACAGTCTATGGTTGCAATACACAATGAATGGGGGCGGGTTTTGATTGACATGTGCCACGCCCACACAGCCCTGAGAAACAAATTAGGCTACAAAGTCCGCTGCTTTGAACGAGGTTTTCTAAAAGTGATGAATGTTTCTCTCAGATTTTTCTAGATAATTAATGACGTGTGGAGCTTAAAGAGACAATCAGCTTCACTGAAACCTGAGGGTTTGTGAAGCCACAGGATGTTGTACTTTCAGAGTAAAGTGTCTGTATGTGAGAGAGGAAACACAAAGTGTTGTTATATGCAGATGATGTGATGATATATTTTGGTAAACCCAGATATTCAATCCTGAATGTCGCGTCTGTTCCGACTTTTTTAGTGGACCAATGATGATGCAGTTTAGACAGGAAGTTAAAGACAACAATTTTTTATTGATGACATGGTCATGTAGATGAAACACAGTCAGTGGCTATGGTTCATGTTGCCTCAGGATGTTTTTTGGCAATCTATGTTTAGTGGTCACAGTGCAAGTTAAGATCTATGTTTTTTAATTCCTTAAAATAATTATAAAAAATGCAGGAAGTCGACTGAATCAATCAAGAAACATGATTTATTTATGGATTGATGGTGGATGGATGATGGATGATGGATGATGGATGATGGATGATGGATGGAATTATGGATGATGGATGGAATTATGGATGGATGATGAATGTTCGATGGATGATGGATGATGGATGGATGGATGGATGGAATGATGGATGATGTATGATGGATGATGGATGGAATTATGGATGGATTGCTGGATGGATGGATTGATGGATGATGGATGATGGATGGAATTATGGATGGATGGATGGATGATGGATGATGGTGGATGGATGATGGATGATGGATGATGGATGGAATTATGGATGGATTGCTGGATGGATGGATTGATGGATGATGGATGATGGATGGAATTATGGATGGATGGATGGATGATGGATGATGGTGGATGGATGATGGATGATGGATGGATGGATGGAATGATGGATGGATGGTGGATGGATGGATGGAATGATGGATGGATGGATTGATGGATGGATGGATTGATGGATGATGGATGATGGATGATGGATGGTATTATGGATGATGGATGGAATTATCGATGGATGGATGGATGCATGATGGATGGTGGATGGTGGATGGATGATGGATGGATGGATGGATGGATGGATGGATGGATGATGGATGGATGGATGTGCAAACATAATATATCTCAAACAAGACTTGTGTTTGTGTTCAGGTGCTGCTGCTCAACCTGTCATGTATCCTCCTCATGTCTGTGCTGTGAGCGGATCAACCGTCACCCTGCCCTGCACCTTCACACCAAACAACACTTTCAATGGTACTGGAGTAGAAGTTCGGATTCAAGTGATCAGAGTCCGCTGGTGTCAGAACCATCAGATTTGTCATGGCTCGACCCCCAACGTGTACGACAGCCGCTCACCCAACAACAACAACCATCGTTACAAATACCTGGGAGACCTGAAGAAGAACTGCACGCTACAGATCAAAAACGTAAACAAGATGGAGGACGAAGCGACTCTGCGCTTCAGGATGGAAGTCAATTACACTATGGGACATTTCACTGGAACATCAGGAGTGAACGTCACCATCACTGGTAAGAGCTCGACATCGTGTTTAATTGGTTCTCATAATGCTTAAATCTCATGTTTGTTATCCTAAACCTTCAACGTAGTTCTGCATAATTGATCCAACATTAATCTTGATCACGATCTTGGTCTTCCCCAGGGTTCAATAAACATGATTGAGCTGTGTATCATATCAAGCACTAACAGCTCCTCATAACAGCATGTCATGAACACCTACCATGCAGTGGCAGTTTCGAGTGTAGGAGTGACTAATAGAAACAGAATTACAAATATCCAGTCCAAAAGAAAGTGCATGGCAGCTGAGTCTGCACTACAAACTTTGAAGAATGTGTGCAGTAGCTTCATTTTGATGATGTTTGTGGTTCAAATGAGGCTGAAGTATTTCAGACTTTAAAACATGAGATGTGGTCAGAACAGGTCAGAAGGTCAGGGGAGAAAAGTTTCAGTCAACCTTTGAATCATATATACTAACCTGGTATAAGCAATTCATTGTAATCCAAGGCGGGCATCCTGCTGACTAACCCCAGGGAGATAAAAAACAAGTTTTCAAGAATTTGACAGCAAACTCTCCTCTTCTAAACATAATGTAATTCACCTGTGTGACCAACGCCTTTGCTAAGTATGAGCAAAGGAGTAATGACAATAAAGATAATGACAGGGATGACATCGACTCTGACTTCACACTAGAAGAAATTATCTTACCCATAAAATCTTTTCCAGGAGAAAGGCAGCTGGGCCTTTGGGTGTCACTCCTCCTTAGAATGATATCCAACTCAAAGAAAGACAAGGCTTTGTCAGAAACACTTTAAGAGGCTAATATCTCTCTTATTGTAAGGGGGGGGGGGGGTAAGGGAACTGATTTTTTGGAATATCTCAAACACAATATTACGTCGTCAGCAT